AATATTCTTATACGATGAGGAAAAACATTTATGGTACAAACAATTTTAGGGTCATAAGAAAGGAGCCCAAGGTCCTCCATTTGAATTAGTAAATTATGTTCTTGTATGGACGTGATGTTTCACTTTACTTGGGAGTGTTGTTGTTCGAGACTTTTTTGTCTCTTCTTTAATGTCTGATATTGTTCATTCGAAGTTCTTGGAGCTTAGAAAGTATCATTACTTCTGACCAAATATTTCCAAGGAGATTTCTCATACTTCTTTTTTTATATTAAAATAACTCTATCACTAATAATTCTTTTATAAAAAAAAATCAAAAGAAATAGCACTTTTAAGAATTTGAATTCCCTTAAGATAAAATGATCTTGATAAAATAGTGTATAGTTCGAAAATATGAATATTACGAATGATCAATGTGAGCTTAATGACATAGTTCAATCTTGTACGAAGCGTGGGTAATTTCCCTAGTATAATTATGTAGAAGAGAATATTAGGCACGCCTATGTGGCGCCACTACAAACAAGAATTCTCTTTTAATTTGTTTATTTCCAAAACTAACATTCGTCTTTCATGTAAAGTTGTAACTTTTATAAAAAGCTGCGACATTAATGAAGAGTTGTGACTTTTATAAAGAGTTGCAACTTTTTTAAAAAGTTGTGTCCTCGATGAAAAGTTCTGACTTTTATGAAGACTTGTGACTTTTATGAAAAGTTGTGACATTACCTAAGGGTTGAAACTTTTCCACTTATTTGTAAAAAAATTTATAAGGCACAATATATATTCGTCCGCACCATCCTTTTTTCATACGATAAATATATAATTTTTTTCTATCATTTTAGAAAAACGAAAATTCTGAATATCCTCTTCTTCTTCTTCATAATTATATATTTATGTACCTTGCTCCTATTGAGTGGCTAACAGGCATCGTTGCTTATTTTGAAAATTCTTGATGTATTTTTATAGTCATTTATATATTTGTATATATTATTAAAGATAAATGATAAGATATAATAATTTCTATATTCCTTTACATTGTTAGTGGTTCTTATTTCATATTCTTTTGTGTAAGATAATAAAGAGTTTTAGATTTAACGACCGCTAGATTTTAAGTATTATTTTATAAATTATGTAATATAAATTTATTGCGAAGCACGGGTAATTTTACTAGTTAGCTACATAATTTTTAATGGAGAAATTCCTAGCTAATACATGTTTTTTTGTAAAAATTACAAATTGATTGCTAGCTTTGATAATTGGCGCCAAATAATTCATTATTAGTTTTGTCTACTTTCATTGCAAAATCTATGTTGTAAATTTATTTTTTTGGTACACTAAAATAATATTAAAAGGAAAAAATAAATTTTTACAAGTCACATTGTTTAAATTTTCTAATAGAAAAAACTTCATAGTATTATTGGTATCTTTCCAAACTAGAAATTGTTCTTTATTTTAAAAATAAAATTGTAAAGACCCTAAAACATGAATTAAGGTTTATAGAGCCACACATGTCCCTAAACCAGTTAATAATATGTTAATAAGGTGTTTTACAATGTGTGTATGTGATATTAACAGAATTGGATGTAAAACGTCTAAGAACGTCCAAGACGTTCGAAAGTTAGTCTTTGAACGTACTAGGGTGTGCTAGTGTTCCTTTGCATGTTTTATGTTATTTTTGGTGCTCAAATTGATAGGTAAGGACCTTAACATGGGTATGGTCACATTTATATTCGAAACATTCGGTCACGACTCCTCAAGGACCACCCGAAGGGTCCTTGAGGAGGACCCAAACGCTGCCTAGACATTGCCTTGGCAATTTCAAAACGACGACAATGCAATCAACGGATTGTGCCTTCATCGAGGCACCGTCGATTGGGGGCGTTGCTCAACACATATAAGTGTGAGCTCAGCCACCCCAAGAAGGAGTATCAGTGGCAAACAACGGAGCATCAGGAACGCGCGTCGATCAGACGACGCTCCATCAACTGCCCTACATCGATGTAGCCTGCAACTTCTTCCCATGCACGTGTGAGAATTTTTGTTAATGTTGATATGATCCGTATTAGATGGGTCCATTATCCCACTAAATGTACTCATTATCCCACTAATGGGTAGGTAGTTAACTACTATCCATTATCCAACTAATTTAAAAGTGGTTAATTACCCATTATCTAATGGGATAAAGGTTAACTACCCATTATCCGACTACATGAATACACTATCCTATTACTCTAGTGGTTGGTAACTTCCCATAACCTCTCAAACGTTATTGTTGGAAGGACAATTATAAATATGTCAAAGGTCTCTAAACACATTACTTCTAAAAAACTCCATACCATCTAAGAGTGAGGTTTTGAGTTCTTAGAAGATTGTTGAAGAAAATGAAGATTGTAGACTCCGACTATATTGATGACAACGGCTGGAGGTATGTCGATCACTCTACATTGTATTGAATCATTGCTCTCTAATGTCTAACATTTGGCATCATATCCATTGAATTTACATTGGTTTGTTGATTGTTGGAATTATCTAAAATCGCTCAAAATGGTTCTGAAAAAGTCAGGTCTTGTTTTTAAATTTTTGAAAACATTTTCTAATAATGAAAAGCAAATAGATTGTTGTTTTGTTGCATAATGTTCATAAATAAATCTTGTATATGATTTTAAGTTAATATTTAGATATTCATCTAATTTTATTTGATTGAGGTTTAGCCACAAAAATCTTAATGAAATGATATTATCTATTATATTATGGATCACTTAAAGAAACAAATGTTTAAGTGATCTAGAATTTATTTGATTAAAGCTTAGTCACATCATCTTTATTTGAATAAAATTTTAGAAGTTAAGGATTACATAAAGAAATTTTTAGACATTAGAATTGTAATTAATTATGCATGATATGATAACTTAATTTCTTTATTATCAAGATGCATAATTAATTAAGATGAAAGACTAAATACTTTTTAGAATTACCCATAACAATTATGAATGAGATTTTAATAGTTTTGTCATAAAGATAGAATATCATGCTACTAAATTGATAATTTTGTCATAAATATGAATCTAATTGAATTAAAAATTTAGCTCACATGAAATTTTCATATCAGTAGATTCAACTTTATATTACTAGAAATTTATGTTCTATATGTGGATGATATCTTACTTTCATGCAATGATGATGGAATTATACATGAGGTGAAACAATTTCTCTCTAAAAGTTTTGATATGAAAGACATGGGTGATGCATCTTATGTTATTGGTATTAAGATTCATCCAGATAGACATTAAGGTACCTTAGGCTTATCTCAAGAATCCTACATGAATAAAATAGAAGAGAGGTTCCTAATGAAAGATTGTTCACCAAGTGTAGCTCCTATCGTGAATGGTGATAAGTTCAACTTGAATCAGTTCCCTAAGAACGATCTTGAGAGGGAACAAATGAATGACATTCCTTACGCTTGTGGTGTCGGAAGCTTCATGTATGCGCAGGTTTGTACAAGACCTGACATATCATTTGTTGTTGGAATGTTAGGAAGATATCAGAGTATCCAGGTCTTGACCACTGGACAACTGCAAAAAAAGTCTTAAGATATCTTCAAGGAACAAAAGACTACATGCTTATGTACAAACGATCAGATTACTTGGATGTCATTGACTGCTATGATTATGACTTTGCTGGATGTATTAATTCACGGAAATAAACTTCAGGATACATATTTATTTTAGCCGGTGGAGGTTATTCATGGAGAAGTGAAAAACAAATTCTAGTTACTACTTCTAATATGGAGGCTGAGTTCATTTCTTATTTCGAGGCTACCTCACAAGGTCTATGGTTAAAATGTTTTATTTCTGGACTTGGAATTGTCGACTCTTTATCGAAGCCATTAAGTTTATATTGTGACAATTCAACTTTTGTCTTTATGGCTAAGAACAATAAAACTCGTAGGCGAAGCAAGCACATCAACATCAAATATCTTGCCATAAGAGAGCATTTTAAATAAAAAAGTCGGCATTGATCACGTTAGCACTGAATTAATGTTAGTTGATCCTTTAACTAAAGAAATGCAACCACGAAAATTTAAGGATCATGTAGTCCCAATTTCACTGAATTCCACTATGAAAAATTTTGTTGTAACACTGAATGTTTACCAAGTTCTACTTTATATGATATTTCTCGTTAACTGTGTGCACATTTAGCTTTATTTTCAGAAATATCATTAAAGTATGGACCTTGAATTAATATTGAGTTTATTTATTTAATTATATTGGTTAAAGTTTAGATATATAGTGCATTGTTATACATGGAAGATAGTACTCACTACAAGAGAAACTATCGTCATGATTCATGTATTATATTTCATTAATTGTATTAGAATATATGGACCAAGTGGGAGAATATTAGCATTTTTGTTAATGCTGATATGGTCCGTATTAGATTGGTCCATTGTCCCACTTTATGGACCCATGATCCCACTCATGGTAATGTAATTAACTAGTCATTATCCTATTAACGGGAAAGTAGTTAACTATCCATTATCCCATAAATAGGAAAGTGGTTAATTACCCATTATCCCACTAATGAAATAATGGTTAAGTATCAATTATCCACCTAATGGGATAATGGTTAAGTACCCATTATCCCAATAAATGAATCCACTATCCTACTACTGTAGTGATTGGTAACTTCCCATAATCTCTTAATCCTTCTTGACGGAAGAATAGTCGAAAATATGTCATTTGGTTCAAAGGTCCCTAAGTATATCACTTCTAAAAACTCCATACCTTTTAAGAGTGAGGTTTTGAGTGCTTAGAAGATATATGAAGAAAAGAAGAATTGTAGATTCTGACTATATCTCTAACAATGACTGGAGGTATGACGATCACTTTATATTTCCGCTGCATCATTGCTCTGTAATGTCTAACAGCACGCCATCCATTAATGTGGTAAATGGGAAATTCAACCCACGTACCAAATAGACCCTATGTTGTTATTTTTATCTATTTTTGGGTATATTAAATTAGTTAATGACATCAAAACTCCATTCCCAAATTTCTTCATGAAATTTCATCCCTCCCTCTCAAAGAAACTCTCTCTACAAATCTCTATTGGAGATGAAACTCAAGAACATCTTAGAGGTTAGATTTTCATGTTTTCTTCATCAAGTTATCATGGTCCTTCTATGTAATGAGGTATGGTAATGCTTCATCTTTATTTAACCATTCATCTAAGAAGTTCCTTCAAAGGTTTTCAAAGAAGATTCTATGATCCAAATCCTTATCTTTCAATCTAGTAATGGGTTCATTGTCAGATAAATTTCAAAAGAATTCTAATGATTAATTTATTATTTACTAATGCTTTAATGATGAATTTAAATCCAATTTCATGAAGAACCCATGATCCTTATACTTTCTCAATTTAGCCTATAATGTGGGCATTATGATCTTAATGTTAGTTTGATTAATTGTGTTTCAATTACTTTATTATTTCTGTTTCTAGTGTTTTCTATTTGAATTCATGGTTAATTATTTGTAATTTATCAATGATGATCAAAGTTTTGAAAATTGGTAAGATTTCCCTATTTCCTCTACTTTGTATAAAATTGATAGTTGCATTGGCCTTGAATGACATTTTTTTGTATGATCCACTTATGGTGGAGGTTTTACTTCATTTTTCATTCCCTATATGATATGATCATGTACTTGAAGGCAAATTTATGTATTGTGAATGTGTGGTTATGATTTTCACACAATGTGAAGTTATATGTCTAGTTTCCAATGCTAGTATCATGTTTTAGGTGTTGATAATGTCTACTATGTTTGAATGAAGGTGCTAGGGTTATGTATGGTATATATGTCTATCATTGATGAAATTATATTTATGGATGACCCCCTAACTATGTAACCCTACATAAATGTGCTGTCTAAAGCATGGTTAGGAGTCTAAGATTCAAATGTTGAAGATGTCTTGTCTCATATGCTATAATGTGGTGTGTGGTCTATTCATGAACGTGTATTGTGATATTTAGAGGGTGTATGACTCAATATTGTGTTGATAGTCATTATGTGATCATGTTGAGAAATGTACACACACTTACACTTCATTCATGTGTATGAGTAGGATAGATTCATAGTGTCTAATGAAAGGATAATTCTCATATGCACTATTATGTATTACTATGCATGTAAAGTATATGTTCATGAAACTATGAAAATGTATCTTAACTAGGTGATTACTCTATGTACATGAATATAAATGCATGATTAAGCTATGAACATGAAATTAAGGTATATGTTATGATGTCAAGTATATGATACTTATGAAGTATGTATTTGTGTAGTGTATAAATGTTGTATGTGAAAGGTTTCCGCATATATGAACACATACACACACAAAAATGAATGCATACATGAACCATGTATTATAATCTAGTAAAGTAGGGTACTTGGAAAGGTGTTCTCAAATGTAATCTAAAATAGATTATGCTTGAATATGCTATGTCCATACGAACGGTTTTCTCACATGAGTTAGGTCTATGAATTGACAATTCTCATCTATAACCTTTAAGCTATGCATATGAGAGGTTAATCTCGTAAAGCTTAATTTTATGAAATTAATATTAATAAAGGGTTTTTAAAAAGTGAATTTAGCTTATCACCGAGTGAACTTGACAATGCGAGGTGTTGACTCCCCTTGGAGGGATATTCACCCTATAATTTCTCATGTGATGAGGACTTTAATGCTATTGGGCATGTAGAGGGTCCAAGACATATATCCTAGTTCCTTAACACTGTTTTCCACATAGGACCTAGAAATTGGATCCATCTAATATGCTAGCATTATATTTATGTTCTACCTTGGCAAGTAGAGAACCTCCTTTCGATGTGGGGTGTCATGACACCAGATTTCATGTTTAGTTAACATTGTATGATTGTCGGTTAAGGATAGGGTTTCCCTAAAGTAAAATGGGAAATGGAAGTAAATTAATGAACCTTAACTAAGATAAGTTAAGGAAAGTTGCTTAGTGTAGGTGAGGGTATGAGACTTTACCTATGCATTGCACAAGCAGCTCTTAATGGGAGTTTTAGGAAGGTGTGCTATATCTATATGTATATGCATACGCCTTTTATGCATGAAATTATGGTAATGACCTACTTGTATGATAATATGCATAGTATGACTCCTATTGTGTCTATATGATGAGGTCTTACTTTAGATGCATAATGTTGGTCTTATAGACTATATGATGAGGTCTTATGTTACATGTATGATGCTGGTCTTACTTTCCATATGATGAAGGTCCTACTTATGCATGTAGTTGACTATAGTTGTCATGATGATGAATGGAGCAAAGTATAAGGCTTGTGGTCTCTCTGTGTGTTTACTTGGTATGTGTGATATTATGGGGCTTTACATGTACATTGATTGCACTAGTAGGCTTAGATTGAGATTATGAATAAGGTCTTATGATGTATTAATGAAATAAAGTACAAGCATGTATTTGTTGACTATTGCTTATTATCATGTTATTGGTAGCGTTGACTTGTATGTTATCTTGAAATGTGTCTCCTATGTGGTTTATGAAGTATGTTGGGTCATATGTGAAATATGTGTCTCATGATATGCTATATTTTCATGAATATCTATGTTTTAAATTAATGAAGGTTAGATGAATGTTCACCTTGGTGACCTTAAGACCATCTCCAATCCATCTCTAATTTACTCTCCATTTTCTATATTTGAAGAGTAAAATAGATAATAGTTTTTCCAATCACTCTCTATTTAACTCTCTATTCTTCTATTATAGAGAGGTGAATACTAGTTCTCCAAATTTAGAGAACTACTTTTTACCTCTCTATTTTACTTTTTGATTATTATTATATTATTTCTATTATATTACTAATTTAATCTTTATCATTTGTAATTATTTTCTAGTGCAATATAACATAAAACAAGTTACTACTTCCGCCAAATTAATACTACTTCCGCCGAATTAATCATTTTTATTCTATTTTTTATAAGAAAATCTCACTTTAAATATGCGACTTAAATTTACTTTACTGTTAATTATATTATATAAAATTATTAATTAAATCTCTAATATTTGTCACTATTTTCTAAATAACATAACATCTAAAACATATTATTGTCTTTTTATTTGTTTTTTATTTTAGATATTTAATTTAGATAATAATTATATTTCATAATGAAATATGCACAAAATTAACATAATAATTCAAACAAGCTACTTTTTATGTTATGTGATAAACTATAAAATTATACTTTTTTTAATTGTATGAAAATATTTGATTCAATAGTTCAAAATGGAATATGGGAAGTAAATTAGTACACAAAATAATTGAATACAAGATGATATTGTTAATTTACACAATTTTAGCTACACACAAAAAATGCTTATTTTGAACTCTGTAATACATTAATAGAACACTCATAAGAGTAAAGTAATAATCTTGAAAGTTGAGTATTTATGTAAGATTTAAAATAAACTTTATAATCATACAAAATTTATCATACAATTATATTTCATTAATGATTTGCCTTTTGTTTGAATCGTTTATTAATATGTATTATAAATAATTTTTTATCATAATTCATGTTATTTACAATAAAATATAATTTTGTATTAAAAGAAGAATTTGAAAAAAATAAAAAAATAATTAGATAAAGACTATAGAGTGATTATTTTAATAAATAAGAAATTATTGAAATTATGAAATAATAAATAAGAATGAAATATAAATTATAATATAACATTAAAAAGAGAGAGAAAAATATTATTTTTAGAGAGTAAAAATAGAGAATTGGGTTTGAGTTGATTGTCTGAAACAATAGAAAACTCTGTAAAATAGTGGCAGGGTTGGAGATGCCCTAAGGTTGTGCTTGGGTGTGGACAGTGGATTAAGACACTATTCATGCATTTCACCAAGTGTTACTACAAGGTTACTTGGGGATTTAATGAATTAAGGTAAAAGAAGATAATGTTATAAATATGATTGATATGCTTAAATGCAATATATGTGGATTTTGTGTGTAAACATGGATATTGTCTATACCTATATGAAGTATATGAACTATATTGTGTAATGTGCCAATTTTTATGAAGATTCTTTTAAAAAATCATGTTGCATGATTTCTAACTAAACGTCCTCCTTTTAAGTGGCATATTTTTGCATGGTTGTCATACTTTGTGCATTCTTATACTAATATCATTCTTCTTCATATTTTTACAGTAAGTGTAGGTGATTAATTACTAGAGGATTCCTCTTAAAGTGAAGGGCTTTATACATGTTTCCAAGCTCAAGAAAAGCAATTATGATTCAAGGATTTCCTATGTCAAGTTATTATTCAAAGTATATGTAATAGCTTAGTTATTATTTATGTCGTTAAGAGTCGTGTCCCTATTCTACTCTATTGAAGTTGAGTCTACGATGACAAAAGATAGTCAGAGTCTAACTATGTATTATGGCTATTTTATGTTTGTATGAAGTGATGAGTCTAGCATATATTGTGTTAGAAATGTTTTAAATTTTTCGCTGGATTTCCTATAACAATGCGATGAATCATGTCTATCTATGGGTTGGTACAAGACCTTCGTGAGGTCAAGTACGCCATGTTACTTCTAAGGGAAGCTCCCTGGTACAGACAAAATAAAATTCTTTTTAGAGATAGAGAAAATGGAGAATGGAATTACAAGATAGGAGTCAAATCCTAACCAATAAATTTAAAGTTCATCTAGTCAACCAACATAACTACTAAGATTCTCATACATGCAATTTTTTGTATGTAACGATCATTATTTCTCAAAGCATCTGTAAAATTATTTATAATCTCTCTTCAAATGCATATTTTATTATTCATTTCTATCAAGTGTTTACAATTTTCATTAATAGCAATGTGAGGATTAAATTATATATTCACATTTTTTAATTATAAGTTGTCAATAAAAAAGTAATATAATTATTGAAATCTGTTGTGGTTTATGTAGGAAAATGTTTCCGAATTTTTTTGAACAAGAAGCTAAAGAAAGAATAAAGTTTCATGAAGAGAAAAGTAATGATAAATTCTACTGATAAAATAATGAATATTAACAAAGATTTCATAAAAATCCTTGATATGATGAGATCTCGCACGCATTGTTTCTTTTAGACTCTCGACTCCCCAAGATAGGTAAATACATTACTAATCTATAAGTTATGGTTTCTTATACTTATATTTGTATTTTAATGGGAAAATATATAAGTACCCCCTCAACCTATGTCTGAAATCTCAGAGACACAGTTATACTATACTAAGGTCCTATTACCCCCTGAATTTATATTCTAAATAATTTTTTACCCCTTTTCGACCTACGTGACACTCGTTTTAATAAAATGTCAATACACACTAATATAGTTCCACGTAGGCCGAAGAGGGGTAGAAAATTATTTATAAAATAAATTCAGGGGGTAATAGGACCTTAGTATAGTATAATTGTATCTTTGAGATTTCGAGCATAGGTTTAGGGGGTACTTGTGCATTATCCCTATTTTAACTATAAACTAAAAATCTGACATTGAAAAGGTATACTCCATTTCTTTGTTTCATGTGACATTATTTCCTCTTTAATCTATGATGAAAAAAATAGTATTTTCTTAATTGAAACGTGATGAACTTTGAACTTCATATCTTTTTATCTTTTAATACATAATTACTTTGACACTAAATGAAATAAATAAATTGTAAAACTTGTGGTCTTAATTACTTTGTAATATTTGTGTGTCTATAAAAGGTCTCACTATTAGTAAAATAAATAATGTATAGCTTGATTATTTTCAAATATAAAACTATTAATAAAATGGTGCTACATAAAATCAGAAAGAAGGAAGAACCTATCATGTTTAATACAAAAAGTCATTTTTTCCTTTTAAACTCATTATGAAGTCAAATTAACAGTGTAAGGATCACTAAACATGGATTATATATTCATTAATAGGGCTAATATTTATATTTTTTTCAAAAAGGTCTATGTTATGCTAAAAATAAAGCAGCGTATGGATTTACAGATTATTCAAAACTAGTTAGCACAAAATGTTTTGTAGGATATGAAGGTAATTAGGTGTCATGCAGATTCTTACAATTGTAGATCATATGTTTATAAAATAGCCGACACATAAAACTATACTAAAAGACAATATATTATTATATGATATGTCCAATTGACCTACATAATTATAACTAATAAAAGGGATAACACACAAGTACCCCCTCAACCTATCCCTGAAATCCCAGAGACACACTTATACTATATTAAGATCCTATTGCCCTCTTGAGCTTATTTTATAAACAACTTTCTACCCTTTTTTGGTCTACGTGGAACTATCTACTGGGCTTAGCGTGTGCTGATATTTTTTTAAACTAGTGCCACGTAGGACGAAAAGGGGTAGAAAATAATTTATAAAATAAGTTCAGCGGGGCAATAGGAACTTTGTAAAGTATAAGTTTGCCTCTGAGATTCCAGGCATAGATTGAGGGGGTACTTATGCATTTTCCCCTGATAATAAGACGTTAACTATAGTAAAATCTCCCCATAAACAAGACTCTCCAAAGGACTACATCGTGGATTCTATTATGTTATGCTATAAGAAAGGGATTTTTAATTTATAGCTCTTCAAACTTTTCCGCGAAGAAAAGAATAATCCAAATATGGAAGAAATTAAATTTTCATTAAAAATAATTAAGCATTTTTGGTGATATTTTGACTTTTCTGTAAGGAAAAAAAATAAATTTCAAATAAGGAAAGAAAATCACGACAAAACCCTTACATTTTTTTCAAACATTAAAATTGTCAATTTCTTTAATGATCTCTTATTGATTATAAAAAAAATTTATTATTTATTACCCGAATGAAACTCTTCAAAATTCTATTGTGCTTAAACTTAGAGTCATTATTGTGAGAGAAATGACTAAGAATACCTAATTTTATCGCAAAATTGTGTTTGTGTATTAGATGCATCAGATGTCCAGACTAAAATTGGAGAAAAAGGGGCATAATGCACATAACAAAGGTCAAAAACTCAAAATTTACTTCATCTCTACTAAAGACTCACTCCACTTCACTTGCTATACAATTTTTTAATTAAATAGTCTTACCTATACAAAGTAAGATACGTAAATATTGAAGACTGAAGTGTACGTAAGGTAAGAATTCTCTATGTTCCCTGTAGCTAATGATGAAAGAAATTGTGGACCATTTTTCTCGAGATGATAATATTGTGCCCTCTTAATTTGGTGCGCGTAATTTTTTTTTAACTACGAAAAAAAGTAGAAGGTATATTTTGTAAGTAGGACGCCTGATATTGATCTATAATCTTCATGTATTTTTACTTGTTCACACATTCTTCATGCAAGGTGATTCAAACGAAAGGAAGGTATTTCTACCTCTAAGTCAATGTTTACCAGGTTCCTCTACTATAGAAGTTTAAGGGTTAGAGGGACATCAATTCTTATAAAATTTTTATATCTATAGAGTAAATCATCTTTGGTAGTCATTGTGCATGAAATTCATTGAGAGAAAAAAAAATTGATTCGTATTGTTCTCAAATTTTTGGAGGAGCAAGAAAACTCTTCAGCATTACTTCATCTTTGGTGATTAATACATCTCCCATGCTATCATTATCCACAATAGATAGAAATTTGATTGACACAATCCGAATGTAAGTAGTTGTGAAAGGGGTATTAATGTATTTACAATATAAGGAACTCATGAAAATCTGGACAATTCAATATTTAATTGTTTTGAAAATATTACATGATTAACATTCCTTTACAATATTCTGATACTTGCTACATTACCGCCAAAACCTTTTTCTGAAAATAATTTTTATGATCGTATAGTCCATTTTATTAATTAACAAAAAAAGAAAATAAAATTTTTGCCCAACCCAAAATAAAACAATCTATTTCTAATATCATAAGAGTAAAACCACCTTTCATTAAACCTATCTATAAATGATAACTTCAGCTTCCTCTTGATTTCTTCTCACTGTGTTGCCTCCTTTCTCACGACTGAACGTTACTCTACTCCTTCTCTTGTGGGTTGTACTAGATCTCTAATATAATGTTCTCATCTCTCTTCTTCTCACACAAGATGTGTCACTCATTCAAGGTAATGTGACTCCTATATTTTCCCTTCTCTTTTTCATCACCGATCTAACTCTTCGTTATTTCTCCAGGTGAAAGTGTTTTTTCTTGGAAAAGATTACTCTATAATTTTTGAAATTTTCATTCGAGTTTAAAAATTGGCTATAAGAGATTCAAATGAAACTCTTCCATTTCTTACCTAGAAGATGCTAATTACTCTATTCAAACTCACACATGTAGTCATTACTCATTTTTTATATATATTCAGTGATTTGAGATTAATGATTAAAATATGTAGTGCTATATTCATGTTGTGATGTCCTACATATATCATGACGGGATAAGGATTAGTCATCATGGATATGAAAACCATCAATTCGATTCGAAGTAATTTGGAACTTATAAGATTAATGATGAATCATGGGCGGTCTATAATATACTAAAATGGAAATTTAAGCAACAGATGACTACATTTTAACTAATTAATATGCAAGACTTTCTTTGGTTTTGGATCAAGGGTATTATTGTATCTACCTTAGCTTAGTGTATCTACTATTCTAAATAATAGAAACTAGGGTTTATTTTAGGGGTTGGTTTTTGAATAAACATTTGATGTTTAGGCTTCTTTGTGAGTTTGGAGAAACCTCATATCAGTAAATTGGACCCTCTTGATATGTCTTCACTTGTATAGGTTCCATTGCTTTTCACCCTTAGAGTTTATTCTACTCATCAAATGTATTTTAGATGCTAGATCGTCCTTTTTCTTCTAAATCTCTTTGTCTTTCTTTCAATTTCATGATAATATATATTATTGGTTTGATTTTAGTTCACTTTATTCTTTTTGCATCTAGAATTACATTCATTGATATCTTTCCCTCTTCCTTTCTTTTTTCTAAATCATATATCTTACTTGCTTGATTGTGGTATATAGTAGGTAAGTCTATCCTTCAAAGCATAAAAAAACAAATCACTACGTTTTTTTTCAACTATTGGAAATTGTACTCACTTCCGACCAGGTAATGTTTTGATTTTATGATAAAAATTATTATTATTATGCAAAAAGAATTTTCCTGTATGGACAATATATTGTATTGCCTTTCTATTATGTTCCATGAACCCTACTACTCTAGGTAGGTATTCAGTGAATTTTTATGCACCTCTAATATCTGAAGATCTTTATGTATTCATAATCCAATTATTAGGTCAAGGTATTATGGGATTGAAAGTATATCGTATAAATCTCACCTATACATCCATTCCTCGTTGGCCTCATCTAAAAAACTAAGATAATCTATTCCAACTAGCTTTGAATTTACACGTAGTTGTTTTTTATGTCAATATTTTCTTGACAAATTCCTTTCTCATAATTTTCACATAATGCATAATAATGTAAGCCTTTTATACTAGTA